ATCTTCGATGCGTTATTTATTACTTTCATCAAGTGTAACACCATTTTTAATAATATTTTATTTTTATTATTATTGCATAATTTGTTATATCTTATTCCTTGTATTAAAAAATAATTTTTTTTTTTTATTAGTAGTAGTTCGTACTGTTTAGATGATTTAGTCAAGAAAACATGATAATATAATATGTATGAAATATAGTTAAGAACTTTAATACCTAACAGGTAGAGTACTATAAATTATTTTATAAATTATACTCACAATTTAATCTGCAGATGAAATTATGAACGTGTTATTGTATAATTTTATGATATATATATATATGGATATTATTTAAAAAAAGATTATATTTATATATATACACCTACATACACCTACGTATTGAAGATAAATAAGTAAATTTAAGTAAAATATATTAAGTTTATATTAAACTTGAGGAATCTTAGATTTATTTTATATTGGTTGATGGAATAACTTATATTATAAGAATATTGGTTAATACTCTAACAATAGTATCGAATTAAAATAAGATTTTTATGAGGTATTCTAATTAAATAACGGTCAAAGTCTTATTTGTTTATTATTTAATAAAAAAAAAAAGATAGATCCATAAAAAAAAAAGTAGCTGCAGAATTCCAACTACACCGTTAGTAGTCCGTCTGCCTTGATCATTGTCAGACTGTAGTTGATTTATTATTAAATCATTTTAGAAATTATAATATGATCTAAGGTTCTAATAAAAACTATTACAGTGAATAATAATATTTGATATGTGTGTGTTTTTCAAATTGTATCGTGTTTGTTTGATGAACATTATAATTAATATTATTATTATTTTTTAACAATATTAATATAACTTATTAATTACTTGGGCGTTAAATAAATTACGATAATACCACGGCTGTCAGCACAAGGTTCTCCAGACCTCTATAGTCAAGGTGTTGATGTTAAACTAAATTACATACGTTTGTTTAACTTGCGATGATCATTCGTCAAGGGAATACGAGGGAATATGGATGATTCGGGCCACTGATAATATGAAAAATTATTCAGTGCATCAACGTAGACCGAGGTCAAGGGATTTTTACTTAACAAGAGCCAGTGAGGCCCAATGCTTTAAAAAGTATTGACACAGTTATTGTTTTACATGGATTCATAAATCGAATTCATATATCACCTTTATCAATCTCAATCGTTCTCATAGCTTGTGTAATAACTTTTATTTTACATCACATTACGAGGAGATATAATATGCTTTCAACATTTATCTTTATGTACCTAAACATAAAATAATAGAATTGAACTAAATTCGTATAATACTTCACAGTATATATTATTTATATTTATGTATGATATTCTAAATATATTCGAATTATTTAACTTATTTGATTTCCATGAAGCACGCACTTCGTAAACGGAATGTGTAATATTAGTAAATAAATAATTATCCGTTGAATATTTAGTCAATATATACCTATTGAGAAACAACGTTTCAGATAACAAAAACATTCTCTGTCAAATTCGTGCACACAATTATTAAGATAATCTTATATAACACATAAACGATTTAATGAAAGTCGTTCATCGTCATTTGTTATAAATATGTTGTATATTATTATACAAGTATATAAAATCATAAATGAATTTTCGTTTTAAAATGTATTACTTATTTATTATTTTGACAACATAAATGATTAGCCAAAAATTGTATAACCACCCACAACAACTTCATGAAAGAGTTAAATATATAATAAATTATATAATTCAAAACATTATTTAAATTATTCACGCTTAAAATTTATACGCAACATATATATTTTACTATAATATGTTATTTTATAAGATTAAATAAATGCATAATAAGAAGTTTTTTTTGAAATTTCAAAATCAAAATTTCGAATCATGTACATTTTTTTGTAATTTTAAACACGTTTTATAATGGTTTCATTTTTAAGCCCTAGTATAATAGTTGGCATATTAAAGTAAATATAAATTATGTTGACTATTCGTGCATATAGAAGATACTAGATTGCAGCATCTAATATAAATTATGAGATATATATAATAGAAATAATAATATGGTTTTAAGTTTAAATAGCATTTGAATAAGCTAATTGGACTCAAATATTATAGTGAATGACAAGATAGTTTTTAATGAAACAAAGCTATATCATTATACCCTTCTTACGAGATGACATACTTATTGTCCTGTAATTGTGGTGAATGCAGATGTAGGTACCCGTAGGATATATACTTCATAATTCTTAAAAAAAAAAAATTATTCTACACCAATCATATCGTATATAACCTAAAACCTAACTATTACAGCTAGTTTCCTTAGGGTTTTCAAACTAATTATATTTATTATTATTTAAAATTGGTTTCATGTGGTTATATTATAATAGAACACTATAACTTTTAGTTATAGCTATTAATAATAACTTTTTTAGTGTTTTTTATTTAGTCATAATTAATATCTGTACAAAATGAATAAATAAGTAATATATATAAATATAAGAACATACGTACCTAATGACTATATTGTGCATAATTAATAAATTATTAAATCACTTGATGAAAACTATTTTTAATTTTAATACGTACTTATATAATATCAAAATGTTCAATATATTTTAATATTTGTCTGCTTCATCATATTTATATAAAAATAGCAATAGATATTTATATTACTTTGATTACCAAAAAAATAGCAACAAATATTTATATTATTTTGATTACCAAAAAAATATAAATATCTGTTGCTTTTTTATATAAATATGATGAGTCAGACAAATATTAAAATATATTGAACATTTTTATATTATATAAATACGTATTAAAATTAAAAATAGTTTTCATCAAGTGATTTAATAATTTATTGATTATGCACAATATAGTCATTATGTACGTATGTTCTTATATATAGGTATATATGTATATTACTTATTTATTCAATTTGTACAGATATTAATTATGACTAAATAAAAAAAGTTTATATTAATAGCTATAACTAAAAGTTATAGTGTTCTATTATAATATAACCACATGAAACCGATATAAACGTAAAAACACAAAATTTTTAAATATTCTACGAAATTAACTTTTGATTAAAAATGTTTATTATGTCAACATGTAATATTTTAGCTATATATAATTACAATATTTTTTATTTATGTGATTTTACATAATATGTGATTGACCTTATTGTGATTTTCTAAACAATTATTTAAACACGAAAATAAAATAAAATAATATAATAAATACGTTTATAATCTACTTATATATAATATTTAGTTATAGTGGCCATAGATGCATATAATATAATACTTCGCTAAAATAAGTTACTGATAATATACTATTATAAGTTATTATATAATAAAGATTAGTATGCAAACAGTATGTTATATTATAATTTACGAAACGGAGACTCTCACCATAAGTACTATTGATAAAAAATCAAAATACAATAGTAATACATGTTACGGTCATTCCAACATTCGAGCCAAACAATAACAGCTGTTCAATACGATATGTTTTATTGGGGGTAAAAAAATACTGATCAAGACTAAATAGTAAATAGTCTCAAGCATCATGTATAGCTCTATAGAAATCAGTACTGTATAATTATATGAATTTTGTTTATTAAATTTAGAAAACATAAAGTTAAACATCTTTAACATCATTTTGTGCTTTCATAACTAGATAGACTTGGATAATTTAAATGGATTTGTGCGCTTTTTAATATATTAATTTTTAAGTATAGGAAGCGTATCAAGTTACAAAATCTAACCCGATCCTTCAGCAGTAGTGCATATTGCACATCATATTACTTAAATGTTCATTGTTATTTTTTACTAGGACTCATACGCCACACCGTAATATTTGTAATATGATAAAATAATAATTCATAGTTTCCTATTACAATGTCTTTTGAATAATCATAAATATTGCTACTTATTAGTTTAATGAATGGAAAAATAATTTCGAATGGTTCTTGAAGGATTTAATCGACATTTTTTTTAAAAATCTTCCAACACAGTTGTCGTTGAGATAGTTTTTCTTCACACATAACAAAATTGTTGAACAATTGTTTAACTATGCGTAACTTTCAGAACACATATTTCATTCCAAAAAGCGAAGAGAGAGAATGATATATTATAATACAAAATAATAATAACCTATTAGATACGAATAATACGTATTATACGATATTAATGTACCTTCCCATAGATGCAAACCGTTTATAAATGGATGCTTAAGTAGTAAGAAAAATGTTCAGGTATATTTACTTTTGAACTTTAAATACTTGTTGTTAAAAAAAAACTATTTGTACAGTTTTATCGATATCATATTTTATACGTCATACGTATGCTTTAGTTTAGACAATGTAATTAAAAATATAGGTTGTGATATAAGCGCGTAGGTAACTTAAATTTTCAAAAACTATATCACTTCGTTGTTGAAATGGGTACGAGAGTGACCAACGTCATACGTCATACATGGCTCATAAAATATTTGTTGTCGTAAACTGAATGTGTACAATTAACCGAGACAATTATATTACTACGATATAGATCCTATTATCGGAATCAAGGTGTTAGGCTCTAGAAATCCAGAGCGCTGAGCGCACTCAAAACCTCTTCGATTCGAGACTTATATACCTGTGCAACTCGATGTTGTAGGAAAACAGACACACATTAATGGTTTACGATGAGTATCGATATATATCAGCTCGATAGTATACATAATAATATGGGCATATCAAATCAAAAACCATCGATAAATAATACACAATCGCACAATATTCTACTCGGCTGACCCGAGTTTTTTCCGTTTCGATAACACAATAATAATATAACATGTACGAGTATATTATTATTATTATTATTATTATTATTATTATACCAAACACGACCAACGGTTAGGGTACAGAATACGTGTCGTGAAAAATCAAAAACCGCCATAGAAATAATACCGAAAAGGTTCGGAGACCACACACTTACTTCAAGTATCAAATCAAGTCTTGCATACAGCGCGTTTGTGTGCGTGCGCGTGTGTTCGAGTGGGCGGTCGTAGGTGTGTCGTGTGCGTGCGCGCTCGGGCAAAAAGACGACGGGCTTTTTTTTTTTGATTTCTTCGAGTAGCGTGGAGATCGTATTCGCGACCGGCGAGGAGCTATTGTCCAGACGTGATATTGTAACGGACTGCGGCGAATCGGACTGAGCGGTTTAGCGTATGACACGCGCCCGGCACGGCGCACGCACACCATGCGGCAAAGAGGCGGCGGCGGCGGCGGCGGCGGCGGCGGCGGTGGAGGCGGCGGTGGAGGCGGCAGTAGTGTGTACATTGCGATTCGTCCGGCGGCAGTGGACGCCGTCCGTCCGTCCGTCTGCACGATAACGTCGTACCGTTGTTACGTCGCGGTGGCGGCACCTTCTTATACAGGGTGCTTCACCACACTTGCTCGCCCTGTCGTATGTTCTCCTTCAACGACGTGGTACGTGACGATCCCCTCCTATTTAATAATCACTCAGTCGTTGAGTTATTTTCCCGGAAACGTCGACCCGTCAAAAATCACAACTCGAACGAGTAGTCATTTCACTTCGCACACCGAGGATAATAATATAGATCCGCGACGACGGATTTTTAAGACCATATGCTCGAGCATATCGAGTATAGCCATTAGATCCGCGATGTTACACGATAGATATCATATTTTATATATTTTTGTAGGTCCATGTTTGAGGACCGTTTCCTATAATATTCATTTTTATTTTTTGATTAATTTAAACGGCTGGTGAACTATTAGTTTGAATTTTGAATCAGGCACGTTACAATTTCGAAAACATTGTCCGCTTAATGATTTACAGTAAGAAGAGGCTGGGGGGTCTTTCTCGTTTTAAAAATAGAAGTTTGCATCGCGAAAAGCCACTCGTTAAGTATTGCCAAAACTCTCAGGAGCTTAAAATATATGGTTTCTAAATATATTTGAAAATTGAATTCATTAAAATTTGAACGAGTTCATTATAAAATAATAAAAAAACGAGAGTGAGCATACTCGTTGGAATTACTCTGTATAATATTTTATCATACACGGAACATACCTATAATAATCTTCTGTATGGTTTTATAGCGCGCCCGTAGGCGAAAATTCGCTGACGTTTGCCAGTAGAGACTGAACAAAATATTTCGGTCAAGCACCTCGCACTGTCAAAAATCTGAAAAAAATTACCGCATTTCGAAACGTGCGACGAAGTTTTCGACCGTCATCAAGATGTCCACAGGCTGGCGCAGGGTGGGGTTATCAACTGCTCAAGCGACGGCACACGCAAAAAATGTACACGCCATGTAATAATATTATGTCGGGTACGGCCACTCCTTATTCGCAGTCTTGTAAAGTACTTCAGTAAAAGTTTTCAAATACTTTTTTAAGTACTCCGATAGGTTTTCAAATACTTTATTAAAATATGCACGCATTTAAATTTTAAAACTTTTTCTTTTTAATAACATATACTTTTATATTTCCTAAATTGAATTTAATCACGTAAAATAAAATAAAAAATGGAGAATATAATAACATATTTTTTTATGAGAAGACTTATGATCAACCTAAAATTCAAATACCTTCACAGAAAAAGCAAATGAGTAATTTATAGTTACACCGAATAATATGCTGTTAAATGATCTATAAAATGAATGTAAAACGTGAAAATGCTGAAATAATCGGTAAAGTTGATTTATAAGGTGAATATTTGAAAGTATTTGAAAATGTCTATAGACACTTTTTCAAAGTATTTATATTTGTATACGAATACTTTTCAAAAACGTCCATTTGTTTGCCGGGTCTGTGCTTAAAAAATCGTTATGGTTTACTATAGTGAGCACGCAAACCTAATGATGCCTATTTATTTTTTTTGTGTCATAAGACTAGTTGAAGACGTAAAGTTCGATAAGTCTGGGGTAGATGACCGGAAAACGATAAATCATCAAACGGCGTTGGCTATCTATAATTTATTATTTAATACACCATATCATTAACCCTTACGATTTTTTTTAATAGAAATCCATACCTTAATGTTTTACCATAAAAAAGAACTTGTTCTAAAAGTCCGTTCTTGTTTTTAAAATAAATTTGTCCCGAATGTTTACAATTTCTTCGAAATGAAAAAAAATCAAGAAGATAAACTATTTTTATAGGATACTTTCGCTACGACAAATGCAAAATATGAAAAAAAAAAATTATTGTTTTTGTGAGACAAATTATATGCTTTTGATGTGTTGAAAATTTTAATTTTGCAAAACAGATGATACTTCACAGGTACTTGATATTATGATTATATGGTATTAAAAAGAATATTGCAATAAGAAATCATTAATTTGTTGTACAAAAAACTTATCATCTCGAGAATTTATTATATTTTTGAAAACAAGTTTCTTAATGTCACTGATTGTATCTCATCCCACACGTTAAAAAAAGTGAATTGACTACATCGTAAAAATACATTCCACTGCAGCGTATCTTCGAATCCTTTAAATACGTAATATACTTTGGTACACTGGTACATCACATATCACATAATATGTTAAACTGTGTCGTCATACCTATTTTATTAATAATACTGCGTAAATCTATGTTAAATAAAATAGAAACAATCAAAGTAAAATATGATATGATAAAGAGAAGTTAAGTGCTATTAGTGAAGGTATTTATTTATCATTATAGTAAAAGAAATAATAAAGAAAAACAAACAGAAATTTATTGATGACTGCGCCAAATAATGATTAATACAGTGTTGGGGATGGGTATATTTTCCAGTTTATTGATAATGTAATCTATCTGTCCCAAGAAAATAGGTACTCGGCTACTATATTTTTGTACCGACAATTATTAAATAGGTACTTAGAGGGGTCAATATTTAATTCGTAAGTCAAAAGGTAATTCCAGCGATGTTATTATTTATTTACGATTCTTTTGAAAAAAATTTATTGTAAATAAATAATTTTTAAAATCATCAAACTATGCCATTGGATCAATAATATATCATGATATGAAAATAAATGTTTTTATATCATATGGTATTCGACCATCATTTTTTTTAATTTTTAACAAATAGTTTAAGTTAAATAATTGCATACTAATAGGTTATTACTTATATGAAGTTTCCGTTTTATTTTATATTTCCTATATCGTTTTTTATGTTTGAATTTTACGGATGGTTATTTTTAAATTAGACTCTTCCATACTATATTGATTCTTCGACCGATTTGTAATAATATAATACGGGGACTGTTGTACTTAAAAGCACCGATATATCCACATGGGCACAAGAGCATAAAACACTACTCCTTAGCAGTACGAAAACTCTCAAGAATTTGAAGATATGGTATTTTTTTAAGAGATGCGAATAAATCAAAAAAAAAAATCAGGTTTTGAACAAACGGGGATGAGCGTGCTTGGATGAATCACTCTGTACACATCACGTATAATTTATTGTATAAACAATTGACCTATTGCCATATGTTATACGTATGTTATTATTGTTATTAGGTACACATTACAAAAAAAAAAAAAAGAAATAAAAACGCGTCTACGTGCCCGACAAATTATTATTGTAGTCGTCGTCGTCGCGTTCTCGTCGATTGGACAATACGCCGAGTGCATTTTAAATATGACGACGGCCGCTGAAGCCCCAAGGAGACAGTCGCGGTCCGATTTGGTATTCGACTCTGTAAACTCGCACGCGTTTCGTTATTACTTATTGTATTATCATTATTACAACGACCATTATTAAAACGATTACTACTAACAACTGTTATTAATACACGGGCCGGTGAACGTGTGTAGTGTTATAAATACGTATCGTACGCGAATACGACGAGTTTATTACACATAGGTACACACATTATGACTTACTGGTTGACGCAGTCACTTATATCGACATTTACGTAACGATTTAATATATATGTATATGTATAGGGGTGTGTATGTATAACTATAATAATATAATAGCATCATTATTGAATCGTTGTAGCGGTGTGCATGGTGTGTGTATTTGCGTTTTGAAACGTTTACATTTTATTTTATTTCTTAATAATATTATACACGATAATATATTAAAGTTAAACCGACCGGTAAACATACAAAACGACAAATGATGATATAATATAATAATGCTTAATGAGGGTAACATTTATACACTTCGGTAATCGCACGTAATATTTACGTCGGTTTCACATTTTCAGTCTTTCGGACTCAAATAATTGTTCTTTTTACGTAGTGCAGATGTTTAATTTACGAACAGTAACCATAAAATTGAATTATATTATATATTCATTAAATATTTTTTTATTTTTTTTTTTTACATAGAAATATCGTTTGCATTTATGCTCCATACATTCACTTTACGCATATTAATTACTTAATGGCAGTAATTTTTTTCAAACTGTTTTTAAACACTGTGCTTTTCACAAAAACTGAAAAAATTCACGTTGTACCTAATGTATATTAACTACTTTTTACAATTTTTTTTTTTTTTATTATTATTACTTAATTTTTTGAACAAACTCGCAGATTTACGAATACTTAGCTCATGGTACTCAGTTTCAATTCATTGCTTTATAAAAAAAAAAAATTATGTTTTTTATTTTTGTAAAAATAAGACTAAATATTATAAAATGGATAGTTTTTCATCAAAGGGATATTCATAATTGTTTTTTTTTTCGGTAGAGATTTATGTCTAGGAAAGTTATACAAGTATATTATTGAATATAAAATAATAATTAAATAATCAAAATAGGTTTATTACTAAACAAAAATATTTTACTAAATACCAGAAATTACAGCTAAATTGATTGAATAATAATGAAAACAATAATAATTATAATAAAATAAAATTTTTAAATCTATAAACGCCTTTCTTTTCTAGTAAATCAATATTTTTTTTTAATCATTCAATCTATTTTAACTCATAACATTTTTCATATATGTTTCGACCACACTTCACACTAATGAAGTTTTTATCACTTGAAGCTGTTGTCATTTTTAAAATTGAGTATTTTATTATTTTTTTTTTTATAATGTTTTAACATTAGGAAAGATATCTTCAAAATGACATATTAATGCATTCTTGTCACTACTCTTTCTATCTTCAATTTCATTTGTAGTAAAAGATACTTAACCCAAATGTTTTTTTTAGTATGACTATAATATAGTGTATA